ACAAATGCATATATAAAACATGAGTGTGTTTCATATATACTTATATATATATATGACATACTATGTTTAAATTTGAAACAAAGCACTTGGTAAATGCAATAATGGTCTATTGAACTTTGAAAAAATATGTCTAGCATTGAGTGATAGATTGCCAGTTGTTGCTGCCAGTACTGGTGGTAAAAAAACATCACATTCACCTGTTCAGCCTCATCACTTAGCACACATAGTTTTCACGACAGCTGACAGCAGAGAGGACAAGACTACTGGCTATAGTTAGTTGTACAACAGAATAATGCTGTCCAAAGCACTCGAGGATAATGCCATGCCTTCATGAGTCCTATGCCTTAGTATGCCAAATTGGAGAAATATAACCCCCTAAAAATACCTGTTCTATTTTCTAGAAGTACTTTTCAAACATTCTAAACTTAGAAATCTTTTTTGCAGGCATGGGTACATTTTGAAGGTAAGGTAATAGGATTTTTTGAAAACTCTCTCCCCAGAGATCAACATGACAATCACTTCTTCACCTCCTTATTAGTGTGATAAGAATAAAAGAGAAATTTATTCTTATATCTTTATCTCCTAATTCTTTTAGGATATAAAGAGAAAAAGTATATTTTAAATGACAGCCTGAACCTACATACCTGCAAAGCTTCTTTGAAAAAATAACAAAACGTAGCATAACAAGCACATTTTAATGTCCCCCATAATTGTTATGTAGAAGTAAACATATCCTTATAGGGCATTCATATCATTTCAATATAATTCTCCAAATCTTTTAATAGATAAGAGTAATGTCCAGAGGTTAGATATGAAATTAGAGGTCTTGATAATGAAAGGTCTTTATAGTTTACCTGCTTTCACATCTATGTTGGTATTTTTTTATTGCTTTGCAAATCCTCAACATGTCCCTTAAAAGGAAAAAAGTATAAATTTCATTGCTTCATTTGACAAGCTCAATGGATGGTTTAGGTAGCCTTACTCTTTTTTAACAAGAGATAGGTTATGAGGTGATTCTACACTCTTTTTTAACTTTATACTGTGTATTTTTAAGAATATTCTCTGATATACAAAACTTTACTAATAATCTTGTTTACCATCTGTTTCTAGAGGGTCCAAGTGGCTCTTTCTGTTTTGATTTCTACTAAATTGGAATTCTAGTTTGGCTCATAAACCTGAAGTAGTAAACTTTAAACTTGTTCTTCATTCTGGACACAGAATGTCTGCTCTATCCATGTGTATCATATCCATTATTCAACTGACAGTGCCTAAGTGTCACATGATGTAAATACTATTTATATGATGTAAATAACCTACAATCTATAGGTCTATTTTCTCAATTTCTATCATTTTCTTATCTCCGACCATGTAGCAAATATCAAATATTTTATACCATGTTTTAATCATTTATGAATATTATTTTATGTCTAGAAAATGTGAATATTACTTGAATTTACTAAAAATGACACATTTAAATGTTTAGTATTATCTACACATAACACTACAGTAAATGTTTGCAATAGGCATTAAGTAAATATATTTTATTGTCACATAAATAAGTTATAATATTAGTATGAAAGCAAAAACATTTGAATACTTATCTTGGGGTTCATTTCACCTAACATCAACTTATCTGACCTTTTCTGCTTGTCTCAGACATATGCTAGTTATTGCAAATAAGGGAAACCATGGCACCTATGTTTCTTTGGTCCTGGCTTACTTCACTTAATATAATTTTTTCCAAGTATTTCCATTTCCTAACAAATGGGGCAATGTCATTCTTTCTGATAGAGGCATAGAATAACATTGTGTATATATACCACATTTTCTGTTTAAATAGGGATATAGGTGGACCCATTGCAACAATGAGATGTACAAATCGTTATGTTGAAAAATGAACTTTACAACTTTGGAAGAGGGGGGGAGGGAATGGGGTGGGGAGATGGGAAGGGATGGGAAGGGGAAACAAAGGAGGAGACAACAATGCATGGTAAGAAATGTACTCATTATCTTGCCCATGTAATTGTAACCCCTCTCTATGGTATTTTCATAATAAAAAAAATTCAAAAAATATTAGCATGAGATAATGTAATCACAATTATAACAGAAATTGGAGATTTGGAGGATATTATGGGGTTTCTTACTCTTCTCAGATATTTGGTATATAAAACTTCAATTTTATGAGACCCAGTTATGTTAATACTTCACCAATGACCATTTCTAAGTTAAAAATAACTTAATTTTAATCATTTGATGACATAAAATGATTTCTTATGATTTCATTTTCATTACTTAATCAAAAGTAAGCAATATCTTATACATAAAAAGTAGATAAACATGACAATTGCTTAAGCATCTTTAAACTTTATCACCATTATATAACTAATAATAAATTTTCCTCTATATGAGAACAAGGAACATTAAAAAACTGAAGCAAGAATAAGAACTGAAACTGGGGAATCTAAAGATTTCTAAATATTGAACGATGCCAGGCTAGTGAACAGATTTCTCTTGGGAAATGTGTTAGTAACATGACACTTTCATTTTTCAATGAGATTAAAAAAAAAAACTTTCAACAGTGTATAGTGAGAGACAAGGCACCCTGGCAGGAAGATGTGGTCTCAGAGACCTAAAAGGTCATTTCTATCATGAGTTGTGTTTCCTGACAACAGTGAACATTCTTTGCACTAGAACTTTATACTTAGGCATTATTCTCCATCTGCTTTTCTCTGTTCTCTCTCTCTCTCTCTCTCTCTCTCTCTCTCTCTCTCTAACACACACACACATACACACACACACCTCATTTACTGTAAACTGAAACCTGTCGTTTGGGAAAATCTCTTATTTTTCCTTAAGAAAAAAAGAACACTTCACTGTTGATATTGATATTTAGGATCAAAAAGACAATCTTTAACATCTAATCTGCATTGCATGAATCTTAGATTATATATGGATCCAAGTTATGGCATTTAAAAATCGTAGCTCATGGTATAGTTTTAGAATTTCTGGACAATTAATTTGAAGATGAATGGCAGAAAATGTAAACTGTAAGAGGTACATGAGGTTTAAGCTGAAAGAATCAAACTTGCATTATATAAAATCATTGCAAGGCAAAATCTGAGTGGATGTTCATAAATTTATAATCCTTGTTATGGTTATTATCACCCATTCTCACCTACAATGACATTACCAGAGCTCCATTACAGGAAATACACTAATACAGAGTCACATATACATATAGGTGCATAAACATATGTATGCAAAGCTGCAAGACTGGAAGGCAGGACGAAGGACAGAACTACAAAGTGGACAAAAACTAAAAGATCAAGTATTCCTTAGAAAGATGTTTTTTTTTTGCCGGTTGTGGGCCTGAACTCTGGGCCTGGGCACTGTCCCTCAGCTCTTCAGCTCAAGGCTAGCTCTCTACCACTTGAGCCACAGTGCCATTTCCAGCTTTTTCTGCTTGTGTGATGCTGAAGAATGGAACCTAGGGCCTCATGGATGCAAGGTAAGCACTCTACCACTGAGCCACCTGCCCAGCCCTACAAAGATTTTTTTTACAGTATTACTTTTGCTTTATCTTCTCAGATTGAAAAACAATTTAAGCCTCAAATCACTGTTTCCAAATAAGTTCCCCAAACAGGAAATTTAGTTCAATCCTCAATATTTATGTTTCCAAATTCTAGGGAGAGTCCTACTAATTTTTATAACCAAATCTTCAGAAGTAGTTCTTCACAAAGCTCATGATTCCATGACTTCCACATCCTTCTTAAAATAATTTTTCTTTCCAAGTGGCCTGCAGCAAGTTATTTAGGGAAGGTCTTTAATATCCATCTATTACTGTGCCAAAGCAGTCTCACATTTAGCTTCAAAGGAGTGTCATAAGATTGAACCCCTTCCCCCCACTCTCTTTTGTCCCACCCTTGCCTAGCAACCGGTTACCTCAGTAATAGGATTTCAAGTCTAGAGAGAAGCAGTTGGTCCTGGGATTCACTCAGATTGTCAAGGCTTTTTAAAGCAGAAGCTTGAATTGTTTTTTCAGACTGAGTTGGCCTGCGTGAGTGTTCAGCTGGTTTTCATCTTCTCATGAAAGCACTCCTGATCATATCTCTTCATGGCTTGTACTAGCAATGTGTAAGTACAAAACTGAGTACAACTGTTGTTTTGAAAGCCAAAAACAAATCGAATTGGTTTACTGTGTAATTAAGGGCAGACAAATTGGTTAAAGTGAGAATGGAACAGACAAAATTAAAGTATACGTATGTTTAGGTAATAAGACTACTAAATATAAGAATGGAAATTATTAAAGATTTTTTAATATAATTTGGAAAAATGTTTTACATTTTGAGCCTAAAGAGTAATGCCAAAATTTTATTCTAATGATGTAAGATGAGGGTAAGTGAAAGGAAAATGTTAACAAAATTTACTTTGAATATATGATGCCTCATAAAGACAAACTGGAATATTTGGTTAGCATAAATCAACTTTCTTTCAATTCTATGGAGTTCAAAAAAGGAGTGACTTCCCTGAGTAGATTTTCCTAAACACTCCTGACAGAATCTGAACACTGGGTGTAGGTCTGTCATAGATACTACATAGACTTGAAAGCACTGGAATTTTATATATTGGGCTCATCTAAACTCTCTATTGTCTTGGTGAAGTGGGGGAAGGGAGTTGGGCCACAGAGTAGCAATGAAGGGTGTTTGTGTAGCTTCATGTTAAAGGAGACTCCTAGAAAATGATCTGTGGCAAAATATTTTATTGACTGCATTGTTGGCTGAAAGAGGGCACTCCTTTTACCCTGATGTACTCGTCAGTTTTGTCAATCATATACTTCAAACTCTATTCTGGTAACTGAATTTCCATTTTTATTAGATTCTGTCTTTCTTATTTTTGCAAGCTTTGGAGGGCATGTCCCTTCACCAAAAGTGTTAGCAGCTGATGAAAATGGGAACAGTTTGCTTCATGGTGCTGTTACTCTACAATGCCCAATTTCCGCGATGAAGGGTGATGTGGATGGTGCAGAGACCTGGAGCCACCCTCCTGTCCCAGTGAGACCCCCATTCATAGTGCTGACAGATCTGCCAAGAGAGCAACCACAGCGCCCCACTGAGAGCGGAGGATCCTGCATTCCTGGTGGTTCAAGAGTTCCAAGATACCCCCGTGGGCTAACAGCTGCTGTTGCAGAAGATTCCTTAGCAACAGTAGAAATAAATAGTTCTGAAAGCCTGGCAGGCAGGAGGCTAAAGGAACATGATTCTATTAATAAGTCCCAAGAATTCTCTCATAGCCCTCTGACACCAACGGTAGGGGGCACAAGAGTCCACAATGGGGCTGCTAAGAAAGGTGGAAATAACATAAAATCCTATGCATCATTGCCACAAGGCAAAGTGATCTTTCCACCTAGGGGTGCACAAGTAAGAAACCCTCCATATATCCCCACCGTTAGATCAGGAATAATGATGGAAGTACCTTCAAGAAATACTAAAATGCCCTCCAATGGGAGATTGGCTCATGTTTCTTTTCCACTCCACCGGCCAGATCACCCTGTGGATAATTGGCAAAGGCCCGTGCCTTTGTCTTCAAGTTTTCTAGGCTTTCCTTTCTCTTCTGCTCATTGCTTCATACCTCCGCAAGCAGTGAGTTTCAAGCCATTTCTCACTACACCTGTTGCTTTTGCTTCTCCGCCCATATTTGGGGCCCCTTTGTCACCTTATTTTGCCCATTATCATCCTGGGTTAATTAGACCCCATTCATCTCCGAAGAGAGAGTTCAAATGATGGCAAATAGGGAAGCAGAAAAAAAAGGCTTGAGGAAATGCTTCAAGTTATTCATGCACGTGATCATATTTGAATCACTCCGCCCTCTCATATTCTGTTTGTTTTGCCCTCATGTGCCTTACATGTTGGAAAATCAATAAAGATTTGAACCCTTAAAATATTTTGATTTTTTAATGTGACTCAGAAGTCTGTGTCTTGGATTTTGTTTTCTACCTTCAGGGCAATGGAATCATATGTGTTTAGTGATTTCACTAAACAGCTTGCTTAAATCTCTGTCAATGCTTGCTACAAACTGCCCGGCACTGTTACTGAGAGAAGCAGATGAGTTCCTTCTAGGCCAAATCTGGGTGGGAAATTTGTACATATCTATTTGAGTGTTTCTCTGAATTTATGGATAATTGCATGAAAAAATAAAGGCAAGGCAAAGTCCATGGAGGCAAGCCAAAGTCTACATAATAAAGGAAAGTACACAAACAAGAAAAATGAGCCATTCAAGGGATGATTTTGAGAGTGGTAATTCAGAGGAGGGAAAGAGTCATCTAGAATTGTGTTTCATCAGAATTTTTTAAAGCAGGAGAGACGTGATACTATATGCATGGCTTGATAAAAAAAAGTCTAATTGTTGTTGAATAGGAGACTTTCACTTGTATAATTCCTTAGAAAGCCAAAAACGAAGTTCAGTGAAATAACATACAAGGAAGCAGTACCCTAAAGGGATGGGATTGAAGTTAAGGGGGAAAAGATAGATGAATGAAGAGGGGAGAGGTCAGACAAGAATACGATGTATATCCTACAAAATAAAAAAGATTGGCTGTGGAAATGGGAAGGGGAAAATTGGGTGAGAATGTTGAAAGGGGTAACATTCATCAAAATATATTGTATTCATAAACTGCTTTGTTAAATGGCAACTCTTCTGTACAACTACTTAAGATAATAATTAAAAAATTAAAGAGCAAAAAAAAAATGAGCCAGAAGAGACCAAGGTGAGAGGCATTCTATCAGCACATGAAAGGAAGCTAAAATGTAAGGAAATAAGAGGGGGGAAAGAGAAATGTTTTAGATTATTGCTTCAATATGAAAAAAATGTTTATTTCTCAATTTGTCACTTTTGCAAAGTCCACAGTTTATGGTAAACTGTGGCAAGGGTTTTTATGGTTATTTTGGCCCAAAAATTTATTGCATGTCCAGAACTTTAACTTGCAAGTGGAATTGTGTTACAAATATGAAATTATTTTCGCAGATCCTGTTCTGCATTCCTCAGAATTTTCTATAACACCGCATCACAAAGATATTTCTGAGAGGGAATCAAAATTATCAGATAGTGAATTTTGTAAATTTAAGTGACAACATGAGTATTGAACACAGGATATGAGAATGGACATTTTGACCACTTGAAAATTAAATATGTGGATAAGTATGTCTATAATCTCAACAATCTGAAAGACCTTTCAATATAGATACTGATTTGAGGCTAGTCACGTTATAGATAGTGAGAATTTAGTTCAAAAATATACTCAAAGAGGCTGAAATTCAACTGAAGTGCTTTCCTCGTGTATGTACATAGTATATTTATATATTCAACCTCTACAAAAGCAAAAAGAAAGAAAACAGAATAGAAAAAGAAAACTTTTAAAACCTAGTGCAATCCTACATGAGCAACCAGTATATTACTAAATTAAAAACATCTTGACAAGTTCTCCAAATAAGCATTTTCATGTTGTGTTGACAGTGTAGGTGACTTAAGTCTTATAAAATTTGTCAAAACCTGCAGATCTAAACAATACCTACTAAAATTGAAGCAGGTTTAGTGTCAATAATACTTTATTTGCTGCTGGAACAAGAAAGATTCATGGATTCCTGACGTTTCTTTTTTCTCCATTTGTTTCATAATAGGTCATTCTAAATGTGCAGGTGGTGGTACAAAGCTTAGCAGGAGCATCTGGATAGTGCTTGAAAGAATTCCCTTCACTCTGTGCATGTCCTGAAGCTGGCAGGATTCCATCAATTCACTGTGGCAAGTTGAGCAGGAGTATTCCACAAATCATTTGACAGCTGCTCACTATGAGGTAGCTTAGTCTCAGGGTACCAAACACTTATTGAATTTTCAGCCTTAATGAACAGAGAAGCTGGGCATTCTTATATTCATCAAACTATCTTTTCAGCCAGATGTTAAAAGATATTTTGACAAGAAATGAAGTTGTTGTGTTAATAGCAGTGCTCTATCTCCAGACTTGCCAAAAGGTGTGGTAAGTGACAACAGGACAGAATCTTCTCTCCTTCACAAAAGTAGTAACACAGATAAACACTCAAAAAGACTTCATCTACAATTACAGCCATCCATGAGAAATTTACTGTAATAGGAAAGTTCCAGAGTACAATCTGCTCTTTCAGAACCCTCTATTCTCTTTTCTAACACAATGTGTGCTTATTATTTCCTGTGTCATTTCTAAACACCAAAGTTATAGTAAACAGCAAATAAGAACGAGTAGTAAATTTATTAATATTTCTTAGTTTTTTATTATTTCAGACTTTATGACTATATAGCAGTTTTAAATGAATGTATCATATAGGCCAAGAGTCTTGCTTTCAAATTCAATTAAAATGCAAATATTTTATTTATTCCTGGCTTCTATGGAGAAATACTAGATCACTTTGTTAACACATTAGCTAGTATCCTCAATGACAGCACACCACCTATTTTGAAACACATGATGTATCTTAAAATTATTATTAATTATTCTGAACTAATATTAATTCTATTACATGATACCCACTTTAAAATTACTCACAAAGTAATGGGTTCAATATTCTTCAATATGTATGGTTTGAATGTCTCCTAAATACAGTACCAAAATATTGGCATCAACAGAATGTGCTTTTATTCAAATAATGAATAAAATGGCTTAAGTACTTACTTTTCTGTGTTATAACCAGTTTCATAAGATCTGTATCATAATGTTTATTATTTGTAGTGCATGTTTTATTCTTTGTCCAAATTATAGCATCACAATTTTAATGTCCAAGATACTGGAAGATATAAAAGATTGTAATGTCTTCTATCTAGAAGATAATAAATTGTACAACTTTGAACTTTTCTAAGTCTCCAGGTATGATTCATTATACATTTCTGTTTTCCATTGTTCACAATTTGTAGAAAATCCTTATATGTAGCCAAACAGAACTCAGAAAACTGAAAAGGTTTTAGGTCAATGCTATGAATTTTAAGTTTATAATCTTTCATAAACCAGAGTGACATACACCTCATTCTTCTGAGAATTATTTTTAAAAGAGCCCTAACGAAGACCAAATAATTTATGTTCTCTTGTACTATCTTCACCATGAAACAAGATCTTTACTGTGTGGCTATTATGAAATAATTAAAGAGAACATACACAGTGGGTGAGAAATATATTAGTCCCTGTCACACTGTTCTGTAAAAAATGTCTTGTGCGTTAGCAACTGTTACTGCAAGATGATGGTTTTTAAAGACCCTAAATATATGACTATGTCAAACAAACATATTTAAAGATCATTAAGTGAAACCCAGAGACAAAAAACTTTTAGACAGGTAAAAATGAATAAGTTCTATTATTGGTTAATTGCACAAATGCTATAACACCTTGCATGCCCTATTTTAAAATGAACTAAATTGGATGTCATAAAGCAAAAACAATTGGATCAAACTACGTTAAAGAGACTGTTGATGGTATGATAATCATAATGTTTTACTTTCTTATTTACTTATTTGATTCTCTGATTGAGAGAGTCATAGTAGATCATCAAGGCTGGACCTGAACATGTGATTCTTCCATCAGCATCCAAACTGCTGGGATTACAAATGTATGCTACCACAGTATGCTTCCTTTTATTTTTGTAATAATGAATATTTTAAAACATCTATCAAATGAAGTTCACATAATTCATATAAATAGCAATCCAAGAGTCATTTTCTTTTTATGTATTTATTTAACTGATATATTAAAAACAGAGAGATGCCTGCGAATGAGATGTTGTATAATGTTTTAGTGCATACATGTATTCTATGATGTTTAAAGATAATAAACACACCTGCCTCCTAAGTTACATATCATCACTTCATGGTAAAAATCATTCAAAATCCATTTTCTAGCATATATATATATAAAATTGTTCTCTCTAGTCACTCTACTGTGAAACAGAATGCCAGAATTTCTTGTTGCTTCCTGTCATTTAGCATTTTTTGTTCTCATTCCTGGGCTTGAACTCATGGACTGGGCAATATCCCTGAACTTTTAGTGCTCAAGGTGAGCGCTATACTACTGGCCACAGCTCCACTTCTGGATTTTTGATGATTAATTGGAGGTATGAGTCTCATGGATTTTTTTTGTCCTGGCTGGCTTCAAACCACAATCTTCAAATCTCAGGTTCCTAAATATCTAGGAGGGTGCCACTGGCACCCAACTGTCACATAGTATTTTGATCAACTATTCTACAACAGTCTCTCCTTTCTATTCTCTCTAGTCCTGGGTAACCAATCCCATTCTCCTTGTTGTTGTTGTTGTCCAGAGTTTTATTTTTTATTAATAAGTTTTTTATTGTAAAAATTCCATACAGAAGGGTTACAATTACATGAGGAAGGAAATGAGTACATTTCTTATCAAGCATTGTTGCCTTCTCCTTTGTTTCCCCTTACCATCCCTACCCTCCAGTCTCCCCCCACCCCCCCGACCTCTGCCAAAGTTGTAAAGTTCGTTTTTCAACATAATGTCTTGTACATCTCATTGTTGCAGTGGGTCCACCTTTATACCAATCTCACTCTCTCAACCTCTATGACATCAACGATTTTAGAATTCACATGTTAATTGGATCAAGTAGTTCTTGGGTTTTTGCTCCTGGCATATTTCAATTAATCTAGTGATTTTTCCATTAATATTTTCACAAATGACCAATTTTCATTCTTCTTGTGGCTCAATAGTATTTCATCATATTTACATGCATACACACATATATGTGCAAATATA